GTGTGGGTGGCTGATCCAAATTATGAAATGGCAAAGACTTTTAGTAATTTCTATGTAAAGCAAAAAAGGGACCAAAGATAAAGAAAAGAAATCTTATGAATTTGGTCTTGTCTATATCATCATTTACATAAACTGTCAAAAATGGGCTCAAGTCAAGTCTGCTCAGAAATGTCTTAATTCAAGAGTTTATATACCATCTGATAATTACAATAATTTGACTGATAATTGTCAAAAGTTTATTTATTCATGTCATTCAACCAAAACACATTTATCATAGGTCAGTGCAGGTGAGTGGTAAAACATGACACTACCCCCCTCTATAGCCCCCCCCCCCCCCCCCCCCCCCCCCCCCCCCCCCCCTCCCTCCTCCCCCCCTCCCCCCGCCCTCTGCAACAAGTACAGGAAGGCTGAAAAAAGCTGCTTCCTCTTGCATATAATTGTCTATCTGTGAGCGATCTGCTGCAGCCGCTCCTCCTGCAGAACAAACCAGGCCATAAAAAGAAATGGAGTGTTTGTGAGAAGAACGGGTATAAATTTAGAAGCCGGGGGAGTTCATTATGTTATCGGTAATTGCATATATTACGGCAGTCGTGTGTTTTACAGTAAAATGCAATCTGTTGATCTGATCATTACTAGAGATGTTATTTTCATTATTGCAGCCTCTGTCTAGACTAATACTCTTTCTGTCTTTTTAATAGCTATGGACCACTGTGAGTTTTTGATAAAGCCTAATAATAATAATAAGAATGATGTTGCAACATCATTCTTCAAACAGTTACACGTCTCAATACAAAACCCATTCTCAAAGTATTTTAAGTCTTTGGTATAATTCTATGTTGGCACAAAATCACTGTATCCAAGTTTTATCGCAAGTGAAAAAACGTGTTCTTGTGAAAACTACTACGCAAAAGCTACAGATTTTGTTCTGAATTCTTACTTTTTAATTATGCTAAAGCCGGAGATTTTATACTTGCTTCTTTTTATGCTAAAGTTGGAGATTTGATTTGATTTTATTTAGTACAGAGTGATTATTATTATTATCTTGTGCTGTGTGCTTCTCATTCCTACTGTCTGTAACCGGGGATGTAACACAAAACATTTCCCACCGTCTCTTAATCTTAATTTATTGTTTTTGTGTGAGTGCAAATATTTTTTGCGTTATAACAAATGGTTCTGATTGTTAAGATGAAGAGATTCTTTATTTGTCCTACAGAGGGGAAATTCCTGTGTTGCATCACAAGTCATCACAGACCACAGTGGGCATGAGGAGCTAAGATGAATGAACTCTATACTAAACCAAATAAAATCTCTAATTTAAGCATAAAAAGAAGCAGTATAACATATGAAACCAAAAAACATCTGAACTCTGAAATGTGTAAATCACTTTGGGTGAGCTTGGGCTGTAAAATGCTCTATAAGAATTAATATTACTTACTTACTTACTGAAAGGAGAAAATGCTAAAGTTTCTCCTTTCAGTAAGTAAGTAATATTAATATTTACGTGTTCGTAGGGACATTTTGGCACACCTGAATGGATCCATGGTGCAATAAGGGCGGCCAACAAACCTCTATTCCTCCCGTGAGATGAATAAAGTGTTTTCAAATATTATGCCGTCTGATTATTACTTCCAAATTACCTTCAGGCAGATTTGCAAAAGAGCCACAGGCCACAGAAGCCACAAAGGCGTTTTTTGCACATTTTTTGAAGTCTTCACACTTTGGAGCTCAAATGACGTCCTCTGTGAGTTCCACTAAACGTTTCGTGTTAAACGCAATTAAAAGCAACACTTACATTGTGCACGGACCGTAATAGAGCCAAGTGTGAATGATTAGCTATAGCACCAGCTTTGTAGCATTCAGGGAAGTTCGTAATTAGGATGAGAAACCACAGAGGACAAGTTAAAAAAGCCATTCTAAATTTAACTAGACAGTCAGGGATAGGAGAGAGCATTTATGATGAAAAAAGTGCATTTCAGAATAATAATTACCTAAAAAATGTCTAACAAATGTGACAGTCTGCTGCTCGCTCTCCCGCTCACATCCTGAATATAGGACTTTATGAAGCTGTCAATTCCTCAACAACAGATCAGAGAATCAAACAGGAAATGAGTGTGTTCACAGAAAAGTGTCAATTAAAGTATCTGCACTTTAAAAGGTTATAACTCAAAAACAAAAATTACTATCATAGATTGTAAAAAAGATTTCAAACACAGACACATCGAAAGAGATAGTGTGGATAAAATCAAAAGGAAAGATTGACAAATATATTTTTGGCGACATTTTAAACGACCAAATCAGCCTCTGATTTGACCATTCTACTGTGACGCCAGAAACATAGAAAATAAAATGTCCTCAGTCTGAAAAGGCGGCTGATGAAATCCCACAAGATTTACATAGTTAACTCAACATAAGTAAATCACTTGATTTAAAAAGGAATTGTAAAAAAATAAATAAAATTAAATGACCCTTGATGTGATGGTTTCCGTCCATTGTTCTCTAACAGTTAAACTTGACAAAAAAAAATCTGGTCTGGTTTCACATTTAATTGGTTGACTATATGAAAGTATCACTTTGTTTCTACTCCGTGTAAAAAAAAATAGAATCTCTTAATCAAATGTGGACATCTGAAAATACAGCTCATTCTGTCAAATCATCGCGTCCGTTACATAAAACAAACAGGGCCGCTATAGGAAACTTGTCTGATGTATAAAACAGTTATGTTCTAGATACTTCTAATGGACAGAGAGGTGTTTGGAAACATGAAAAACATAAAATATCTTCTGATTATTAAAATCAAACTTTTGGCCTTTTGTCACACCTTTAGTGTGAACAAGCCCAATATGAGAAAGACAAAGAAGCCATTGGTCCATACAGGGAACAGGATGACCACTGTCCATATATGTGCTGGATTATTAAGAATAGGATTAAGATTTAGATTAGGATTAATATCAAGATTAAGAGACCCTTTATTCGTCCCAGTGGGGAAATTTTACTGTTGCATCACAAGTTACAGACTGGAAGAATGACGAGCACACAGCACAAGATACATTAATGATAAATATATACTAAAATAAAATATAGTCTCTAACTCTGGCATAAAAAGAAGCAGTAAACAATCTCCATCTTTAGCATCACTGTCCTTAGACCCTCCTGCATCAGCAAGAGACAATAACAACAACAAAAACAATGGGGAAAGAAGTGAGAAACCTTGGTTTGCCGCTGAAAAAACTTCAAACATTTGAGGTTGCCCATGTAACTTATGGTGAAAGTGTACAAATCTATTGGATTATTCTCTATAAAAAGAGCATGGATGGGCTTTTTCAATACAAGAATGTCATATTTTCACATATTTATACTTGTTTATCCAATTTATAGTTATATTTGGAAATGTTATATTTTGCATGCTTGTAAGAAAGATCCTTGCAAGTCACTATTTGTTTGGGTTTGGGTTCATATCAATCTAAAAACGCTAATTTAAACATGTGACAGAGGCCAAAAAGTTAGAGATAGAAGCAAACTGTTTTCAGAGCTGGGAACTAGTTAGATAGATTTATACGTTTTTTTATTTTTCCTTTTTAAGTTTGTAATCATACGTTCTCCAGCTTTGAAACGCAAAAGTATTTTCACATTTAAAATTTTTTCCAAAACTAATTTAGGTTTTAAATGCATTTTTCAAACTCCTATAACACAAATAATACACCATTCACACTTCAAAGCCGCAGCTGAGACCTCCCTGGCCTCGCAATCAGCACCAAACTATTTAAAAGCAAAAAAAAAATCCCAATTTTCTTTGCTCCCAGTTCAGGCCTTTGAAGTGAGCTGTTCCCAATGACATGGTGTGAGTGCTGTGGTCTGTCGTGAGAGAGTGAGGGGGTGAGGGAGTGAGAGAGTGGGAGAGTGGGAGAGTGAGAGAGTGAGTGAGGAAGTGAGTGAGAGAGAGACACACATAGAGAAATAGAAAAGAAGTGAGTGAGTTAGAGAGTGGAAGAGAGAGTGAATGGGTGGATGAGAGAGGGAGTGTGTGAGTGGGTGGGTGAGAGAGTGTGTGAGTGGGTGGGTGAGAGAGTGAGTGAGTGGGTGGGTAAGAGAGTGAGTGAGTGGGTGGGTGGGTGAGTGAGTGAGAGAGGGAGTGGGTGGGTGAGTGAGTGAGTGAGGGGGGGATGAGAGAGGGAGTGAGTGAGAGAGGGAGTGAATGAGAGAGTGAGTAAGTGAGTGAGCAAGTAAGTGGGTGAATGATAGAGTGAGTTAGTGAGAGAGTGGGTGGGTGAGAGAGTGAGTGAGTGAGTGAGTGATTGAATGAGTGAGTGATTGAGTGAGTGAGTGAGTGAGAGTGAGTGAGTGAGAGAGTGAGTGAGAGAGTGAGTGAGAGAGTGAGAGTGAGTGAGTGAGTGAGTGGGTGGGTGATAGAGTGAGTGGGTGATAGAGTGAGTGAGTGAGTGAGTGAGTGAGAGTGAGTGAGAGAGTGAGAGAGTGAGTGAGAGAGTGGGTGATATAGTGAGTGAGAAAGAGTGAGTGAGTGATTGAATGAGTGAGTGATTGAGTGAGTGAGTGAGTGAGAGAGAGTGAGTGAGAGAGAGTGAGTGAGAGAGTGAGTGAGAGAGTGAGTGAGAGAGAGAGAGTGAGAGAGTGAGAGAGAGAGAGAGAGAGAGAGAGAGAGAGAGAGTGTGTGTGAGTGAGTGAGTGAGTGAGTGAGTGAGTGAGTGAGTGAGTGAGAGAGAGAGAGTGAGATAGAGTGAGTTGGTGATAGAGGGAGTGAGTGATTGAGTGAGTGAGTGAGTGAGTGAGAGTGAGTGAGAGAGTGAGTGAGATAGAGTGAGTGGGTGATGAGGGAGTGAGTGATTGAGTGAGTGAGTGAGTGAGAGTGAGTGAGAGAGAGAGAGTGAGTGAGTGAGATAGAGTGAGTGGGTGATAGAGGGAGTGAGTGATTGAGTGAGAGTGAGTGAGAGAGTGAGTGAGTGAGTGAGAGAGTGAGAGAGTGGAGAATGCTGATTGCTTCTCACCAGGGCAGCGGGCAGTCTTTTCCTCACGGGGCTGATGGCAGAGGGAGGGTCAGAGTGGAGCCTTGCGGTGTACCGGGCCTGTGTTCAGAGAGACAGGGGGGAGACAAAGGGGGAGACGGTTAGTGCACTGGGAGAAAAGCAGGACATTTGTAACATACAGTACATGCAATACTATAGCCATGCTCCAAAATAATTTACTCATCAGCTCCTTCACCGACTGTTTTTCTGCCTTTTAAAACACCATCATTGGCTCAGAATTAGCATATCCATTTAAGGAATAGTTATTTCACTTTCTCAAATATGAAATAGTATGTCTAAAGAAGACAGAATTGGAGTCGTTTGTAGATCCGTCCACGCTAATATCGAGAACTTCTGGCACAAACGTGTACTGTAACTCTTCCTCTTCTGTCTCAGCTCTAAATGTAGAAATGAAGAAGAGAAATTCAACCCCTCCCTCTGGTGGCAGCATAGAGAGTTACAGACAGAACGCATTTTGAATCCATCATACTTGTATCACCAAATATTGTCTATACTTTATATATTCTTTCACATTCTAAATCATGCAATAGCAAAGTAAATAAAAATAGTTACGTTAGTCTTTTTAATGGATAAAAAGAATGCAAATCATATGTATTCTTTAAAAGCCAAAATGACCTGTGAATGAATTTATTATTTGCTGAATATGTGTTCTTTATAGATGGATTCTCCTAAAATTACCATAATATATATATTTTCTATTTTAATATTAAGAAAACATTCTATTTAACAGCCTGGAATATTTCTTGTGTACATCCTGACTATATTTTTTTGTAGAATAAGTAAATGGCAGATTACATTTGTTGTATCAATTGGATCTCTACACATATTGTCACAACTTTTTAAATTCTCTCTGCGTTTTGTTAATAATTAAAACCCCCTTTAACGATCTAAACGCTGCAGCCCGTCATCGTGTCACTTTGATCGTGTGGCGTCCCGGGCCGCGCTCCACACACAGGGGTCTTTAGCGCGCAGTAAAACAAGCACAGAGGTTGTAACACAGCCTGTCAGAGGTGCCTTCCCCTCCCATTCATTCTGCACAGCCTGTTCTCCCATGATGCAGCTGGGCGGGGGAACCACACATTGTGACTGAGGAGAGAGGAGGCTAATGAGCTGACAGGGGCCTCTACCCCTGACACGCCCCCGCCTCGTGCAGCGACCCCCCTCCTCCCCCATCCGCCTTCATCTCCGTCCCAACACACACACACACACACACACACACACACACACACACACACACACACACACACACACACACACACACACACACACACACACACACACACACACACACACACACACACACACACACACACACACACACACACATACAGGGGTGCATTCAGGACTGCTTAATTTAGATGTTAAACTCACTGGCAAGGCACGTTTATTAGCACTTTTCATAAACAAGGCCACTCAAAGTGCGTAACAAACCGATAAAAGAAACATTCAAAAGAGTAAAAACATAATCCATCAGTTGGTTGCTCCGGGTCTATGCTTGTTTTATGGTCTAGTTTTGTTTTGAAAGCTTCTTAATCTCTGCACATTTCCCTCTATTGTATGTGTCTTGCAATAATCTAATCATAGAATCATAACTTTAAAGGGGAGGTACAATGCTTTGGATCAACTTGACATTTACACCAGACCAACTTGCTCCAGCCATGAAAACTGCCCACTGGCCATCATCCATGTGCAAGAAACAACATCTTTAAGCTCTTTCCCACTGTGACCCTGTGTTTTGCGTGATGACCCGGGACAGGTTGCTGTGTTTTCACCATATGAAAGACGGCAATGTGTCAAATTAAAAAGGGTCAAATCAAACTTCCCACTTTTAAAACAAGTCACAGCGCAGTACAGTCAGGACCAGAGGGGACTGCTTACTGTAATTACGGACTAAGGCAAGTTTCTGCATAAACATTTTCCAAGATGTTATAACAATGGCTCAGTTGGTAGAGCATTGGCCTTTGAGCCTGAAGGTCGTGGGTTCGAGTCCACCACGAGACCTTCTCCACTGACTCCCACTGATGTCTGCTGCGGTTGTGTCCTTGGGCAAGACACTTAACCCCACTTTGCCTGAAGCCTCTGCTGAAAGATCAAGGTTATGCTCTCAGAGACTGCCACCCCCCCAAACCCCGAACTGGAGTAAGGGGAAGAAGGCAGACGCTGGTTTTGTCCTATAGGCTTGGTTTCAATGTTTCTATTTATTTTCCAGTTTTCTAAATAAACGTAGTACTAGATTCCGTTAAAAAATCATTATCAAAACAACTAATATTTCAGAATTAACTACATGTATATTAAAAAGCTCACCTTGTACCTCAATCATACTTCCTTGTACTTTCTGTCAGACAAAACTCAGCACAGACCGCACCAAACCAATCCAAGCAATCAAGACTAGTGAACAAAGCTTAAATCAACCCTTTTCTACGGCTCCATTTATTTACTGCTCACACGAGGAACCTGGAGCTGAGCCAGAGCCGAGCCGGGATCATGACCAGATTTACTGACTGCACACTGAGATCACGGCTCGCGGACAAGCTCAGCCAAAGTGCAGCTATCAGAGCCCCCATCGACACTTTAATCTACTTATTATGAAAACACCATGACCTGTTAACTGTAGCCGTAACACTGTTTACACTGGGCGGCGAGCAGAGCACACCGGGCAGCGGGTGTGTGGGAGGAAGACGATAATGATAAGATAATATCCATTTAACCTGAATATCAATGTGAAGTGGAAAAAAAAAACAAGAGCGCATTAAAAACAGAAAAACAAAAACATAACTTTTCAGATATTTTTTGTGCATGACGTTCACCACTGGCTCAAGAGAGATGAATAATATACATATATAGATTTTCTTCTACTTTATCCATTGCCGGGTCGCAAGGGCAGCGTCTAAGCAGGGACACCCAGGTCAGCTGAGAGACGTATTCCCTCCAAGGTGTCCTGGGTGTTTTCCCGGGGCGTCTTCTCAATGAGGAGAAGCAGTGGCTCTACTCTGAGCTCCATTTGTTTGAAGAAGCTCCTCATTCTATCTCTAATGGAGCACCTTTGGCATTATTGCAGAATGTTGTCCTTTATAAACAGCACATGGAGAACAAGCATAATGCTTTAGTCAACAATACGTTTATGAGAAAGTGCAACAATAGGGGTTTGCGTCGCTTGCTCCATTCGGATCGGAAACAAAAACGACATAAAAACAGTAGAGACTGTAGGGTACAAAGGCGAACACACAAACTTACTGAACAATGGTCCATAAAAAATACTCCAATACGTACAAATAATTATCCTTGCTGTCTCTCTCTTTAAACTCTCATTGCTTTAGGACAATAAATTAAATGTAGCCAAAATTAATTGATCTGAACTGGAATTTGTTTCTTCAGATATAACTGTGTGTCAATGTGTTCACCTGAGTACACAACAAAGTGTGATTGACTTTGAGAACACGAACAAATGATATTCACATGCAAAAGCTCCTGGCTAGCTCGCCATATGTGCTAATTTCAGCATTATTTCCCCACTGTGGGACAAAATAAGGATTATCTTGTCTCATTATGCTCATGCTGAAGTTGTTTGCTGACACATTGATTAATATACACTGTCCAAATTCAAATAGTGACAGGGGATAGCCTCCTTGGCTAATTCTGGCTTTTTTTAACTCATGTTTAATCATGTGTTTTATTAAATTGCCTTGCCCCCTTTGAAATAAACTAAACTGAAACTGAAATAAATAAATGAATGAAAATTAAAATATAGTTGCTTATGTCTCCTTTAACACCTCCTTTTCACTTATATTCATTCATATAGGAGCAACAGGCTGCTTTTACCACATATATAACTGCTCAATGTATTCACTTCTCATAATAAAAGCCACTAGTGAAGGTCAAATGTTTCTGAGCCAAAGCCACAGACCAAAGGTGTGAGATGCAGATGAAAGCAGAGAGAATGCATCTGCTTCCTGACAGTCTCGTGAGGTCATGTGTGCGCACGGGCCCCAGACCTCAGAGTGCTGCACGTGGACTCGGGATGTGGCCTCTGTAACGGCTGAGAAAAGAAATGCATTCAGCAAACCATGTTATAGATGAAGACAATGATTAGGGGTTTTTACTGCCAGAAAACATTGGACGAAGCTGATCTGAAAATGCATTCAGAAATGCTATGAGAAAAATGTATACAATACAAAATAAGTTAAATACATTTGTTTTGAGATAGAGATTTTATTAATGTAGATATATAATCAAACAATATGGGCACTTTGCTTGAAAAAAGTCCAATTATCAAGCCTGTTATTGTGTAATTCTGGCCCTTAAAAATGATCTTGAGAACATGTTTTGGTTAAATTGATTCCTTTTGAGAAGAAATGGCGGAGCATGACGGAAAAATAATGTAAAATGTGAACTATATTTGTTTCATATTTAGCTTCAGCTTGATGAAGGAGATGAAGGATAAGTCATGTATTTCTGAAACAACCTGATGAGGGAAATTGTGTGAATATTTGTTGTGTAAGGGGAGAACATGCAAACTCATACAAAAAGGCCCTGTCTGTTGTAATGCATTTTATAGTGTTTTGTAGTGTGGTGAGGTGTAGTGTAGGGACTTTTTTTATATTTAATGTTCGAATTTTCATAATGAATACTATTATTATTGATAGTCTGATTTGAAGGCAGAAAAAACAGCTCTGTCCATGAGGATTTGTCCTTCTGTGAAAAGTTTGAAATAAAAGAGAATTCATCCAGAAAGGGCAAAGGTGACTGTGCCACAATTTCTAGCATGAATGAAGCAAAAAGACCACTCCATTGATGATGTGACATGTTTGTAACAACTGAAAATTACCACTTTATCTCCCGTCTCCTTTAAATGTACTACATGTCAGTAGTATCACCTATATGCAATGTCTACTCCACACAAAAAGTGTATCTGTGAATACATAAGAGCACATCCTTTATGAATGCTTTGAACATTATGTGGGGCTGAAATAGTCTGGATAATGGTGCGCGTAGAGCTGCACTTGGAAAGAATGGGAGATGGATGCTTCGTCATTAGGGCCATTGTGAATCTGAGGAGTGAGTCATTTGTGGGAAGGAGCCTTGTGCATTTTTAATATTCTTAAACTGAAGAGCCCCAAGAACGCAAACTCTATAAAATAATAAGAGCGTCCCACCTTCGCTCTATCTCAACCTCTCAATTATTTATCGCTAATGAATGGCTGCGGGTGAGACTCTCCCGTACTGTACAGCGCACGTACTTAAATACTTTTGCCCAATTAAGCTCCGTGTCCACTTCGCTGGTTCATACGAGGACATGCAGTCTTCCTCTGTTCCGAGATTCAACCTGGATATGGCCGTCTCCATTCTTTCAATATACGCAAAAACAATGACAGTAATTGCCGGACTATTAAGCTGCTTTTGTATTTAAACCAGCACCAGCTACAGTATGATAGCGATGTTATTACCTTGACATGTTTTGACGGCATACTTCAGAGGAAGACAGAAGTATACATCGAAACATGTCGCATAATAACCATAATAATCACTATACTCTGTCTAACGACCTGAAATGGGACAAAAACACTAACCAGGGTTTTAAGAGAGCTTGTCGGCGTCTCTACTTTGTGTGCGGCAACTTAGAGAAATTAACTCTAAAATTCTGCTTAACTTTTATCGCTGCACCATTGAGAGTTTGCTTGTTGGTTCTGTGGCTGTAGTTTGGTGACATCACAGACAAAGAAAGGAGAGCTCTAAATGAGGTCTGCTTAGAAAGAGGACTGTGAGCTCCTGTTCTAGAGGTTCTTTATGAACCCAGACTCTTAAACCGAGCCCCTGGAAAAGCCATGTTCCAGCTTCTTACCTCTGGCAGAAGATATTGTCCGCTAAGATGCAGGACATCTTGTTTTGCTGACAGCTTCTTTCCACAAGCTGCTATCACTTTAATAATCTACAAATGTATTGATTGATTTTAATTTCTGTCATTTTCACCTTGTTTTATTCATGTACTTGTCTTGTGCACACTGGGGACTTTTGCAAATGTATTCCAATGTAATTATACTGCAAATCAATCAAATTGGGCGTCTGTAGGGAACTCACCGAGCTACGGTGAGATGCCTGCAGCGTTGAGCTAACATTGCAAGCATCTCACTCACAATTTTAGCTCAGGCCTTAAGATATTTTTGGATGAGTGGACG